ACTGTCAGTACTTCACGTACCGGTTCGTTCCTTTCTGGACAGCCTAGCGCTGAGGTCAAGTGATGTCTTGGTCATGTGCAGAGGTGAAAACATGAAAATCTGTGACAGTACCCCCCCTTCTAGACAGTTCGTCCCAAATCTGGCTTTTTGCGTGGTTTCTGGAAGTAATTATCGCCTGTTGAACCAAATCCACGGTGTCCTCAGGCTAAGGGTTTGAGGTAATCAACCAGTGAAACGACAGGGGTGATAATACGTTCAATGATAAGTTGAGCGACTCGATCGCCCAAATTGACTGTGAAGTCATCATTTGTATTATTGATTAGCAAAATCTTGATTTCGCCCGTGTATCCTCTGTCGATTACACCAGCTCCTATGTCGATGCCTTTGACAGCTAACCCACTTCGTGGCGCAATTCGACCATAGGTCCCTCGAGGTGTTGTAAAATGAAGCCCTGTGGATACCAATTCTCTTGAATGTGCTCGGATGGTTGTTGGTTCGGATGCAGCTAAATCCATTCCAGCATCGTCTTCATGAGCATATTTGGGTGCTTGTGCATTTGGATTATCTAATGTAATTTGAAGATCTCTAGAATGATCCCAATCATCTCTATCTTGATCGTATATTTGAATGGTATCAGTGGCGGGGTCATAGACTTGACCTGTTCTCCTGGGTGGAAAAACGCCATCGACCAGAGTTGTATCAATGAGAGATATTGGTTGAGATGCGTCAGGATATTTTCTGTGAAATTCCTTGATGAGACACGGAGATTTCTTCAAATTTGCAGCGGGTTCTCAAGTTTCTTCGGCTTTAGAATAACCCTTCCAATGCACCAAATATTGAAGTTTGCCACGAATGACACAAGAGTCGACTATATATTCGACTTCCCATTCTTCACCAGTCTTCTTTTTTATAGGAGGGTGGGGTCTGAGAGTGCGGTCTGGTATTTCATCTTTATGGTAGAGCATGAGCTTGGACGTATGAAAAACTGGATGAACGCCATATTGTCGCAGCATTTTGAGTCTGTATGTGACTGGTCCTAGTTTTTCTACGATTTCAAAGGGTCCATCTCTCCGTTGTGCCAATTTGGCTCCCGATGTCTGCCAATCTTTAGTGGAGAGTAATACTTGATCTCCAACTTTGAAAGGTGCAGGTCGTACGGATTGATCTTAGTACCACTTCATGCGTTCAGCTGCCAATAGAATGGCTGCTTTCGCTTGCTCTTGCACTTCTACTCGTGCCTGCATTATGGAATCTAGCATATGATGCTTTATGGGGTCCATTATTGTTGGTTCTGCACGTGGATGTCTACCGTATTCGACAAAGAATGGTGAATTCTTAGTGGCTTCAGAAGCCTGATTATTATAGGCGAATTCGGCAGTGGGGAGTAATATGCTCCAATCTTCCACGCGTCTGTCAGTATAAATACGAAGATATTGCTCCAGCGACTGATTTGTTCTTTCAGTTTGACCATCGGTCTCCGAATGATATGTGGAAGACATCGTTGATTGTATCCCAAGGAGTTTGCATACTTCCTGGAATAATGCGCTTGCAAACTGAGTACCTCTGTCTGAGATAATCTGTCTCGGAAGACCATGCTGTGTCCATACCCTCTCATAGAAAGTACGAGCAAGGTCTGATGCTGAGAACTCATTGGTGATTGCAAAGAAATGCGCTCGTTTGGTCAAACGATTGACAACTACCATGATTGCATTGAATCCATGGGATTCTGGTAATTGAGTGATTAAATCGACAGAGACAATTTCCCAAGGTTCTGTTGGAACCTTATTTGGCTGTAATTCTCCGTATTTTGGCTGATTGATGTTCTTGTTGCGTTGACAAAGGTCGCAAGAACCAACATACTTTTTGACGTAAGTGGACATTCCTGGCCACCAGTAGTTACGAGATAACATCTCATACGTCTTCCATCTTCCAGGATGACCTGCACTGGCAGCTTCATGATGACGCTGGATGATTTCTCATCTAAGTGATTCCTTATTATCTGCTTTTGGCATATAGACTTTGCCTCGGTATAGTAATATCCCACTTTCAAAGTTCCAGTCTTCGAGTCCTTTCGAGAACTCTCATTGTCCTTTTTTGAGTAGGTCTTGATATGAGTTGTTCACATTGTCATCTTGTAGTGCCTCCTTGATCTTGTCCACCAAATCATGATCTGTGACGACTGCAAGATGGGTATGTTGAATAGCTTTAATCGCAAAATATTCCGGTTTGAGCAGAGTTTTGTCAGAATTATCGAGATTTACCCCCTCTTCATGATCTGGCCTCCTGGACAGAGGATCCGCGTGATGCATTGATTTCCCACATTTGTGATGTAGTTGGATGTTGAACCGTGTAAGATATAATGACCATCGAGCTTGCCATCTCGTCAGCTTTTGTGCTGATTTGAAATAGGTTAAGTTCTGGTGATCAGACCATATTTCTACCGGGAGCGGATGACCTTCGAGATGTTGTCAGTATTCTTCCAATGCTCGAATGATTGCGAGCATCTCTTTGTCATAGATTTCATAGTTCCGCTCAGCCTCATTGAGGCTTTTCGAATAGAATGCGATTGGATGCCACAACCCATCATCTTTGAGTTGTTCAAGGCAGGCACCAGTGGTGAAATCGCTGGAATCCGTTTCTAACCGGAATGGATGAGTATCATCCGGTAATGCCAGAATTGGAGCTGAAGTAAAGGCATGTTTGAGAGCATTAAATGCCTGTTGTTGTTCTTCACCCCATACCCATTTCTGATCCTTTCGTGTAAGGATATTGAGTGGTCGAGACTTTTTGGCAAATCCTTCGATGAATCGACGATAGAAATTAGCGAACCCAAGAAAAGCTTGTACTTGCTTAACCTTTTTGGGTTCTGGCCAGTCGAGTACACCTGCGACCTTTTGAGGACCCATACGGACCTCACCTTTAGAGATAATCATCCCTAAGTACTCAATCGAAGGTTGTTCGAAAAAGCACTTTTCTGGTTTGGCAAAAAGGTCGTTGTCCCTTAATCTTTTAATTATCTCTTTGGTAATCTTCCGATGTTGTTTCAAATCGTTGGTGAAGATTAGGATATCATCGAGGTAGACGATCACATGACCTTCCCAAATAAGATCATCTAAAATCTCATTCATCATGTGCTGGAAGGTGGCTGGTGCGTTACAGAAACCGAAAAACATAACCGTGGCCTCGTATAAACCGCGATGCGTCACAAAGGCTGTTTTCCATTTGTCACCCTTGCGGATGCGAACATTGTTGTAT